AACCTTAAGTCACAAAATAAGGGCTAAACCAGAATTCCAGCTTTCCAAGCATTAAATTTTCATGCCTGGAGGGTTTAGTCTGCCCCTTTACATTACTTAAATATAGAGAAGTCATTTGTGGTTTAATATAATGGAGTTGTCTTTTGGTGGATGATTGCATAAATTAACTTGCCTTTAGTTTAGGATTATCCCACTTGAGATTTCTCATAGAATTTTACTCCTTCTTCAAGGAGTAAAACAATATGACTTCAAGCCATTTAAAAAATAATAATAAAAAAAGCACATTCTACCTACCTAAAAAGGCATGAAACAATGTGCTACTATTTTGTTTATAACTCTAAAAGCCTCTTGAAGAATAGAATCTAACATGACAACCCTAAACCATGAAGGTTTTAGTGCTGCAGCGGCTGATGAGACATTGGTCTTTTGGAAACACCTTCACTGGACTCACAGCTACACGTAAGTGTGATAGAGCCTATGCAGGCACAGAGCAATAGCCTAGGAACAAACGGACAGAACCACGGCAGGGGTGAAAATCCAAAGCATGGGAAGCTCCTTGTGCTTCCAGGGAAATAAAGCAACGTGTAGGTGCAGCTGCAGGGTGGGAGCGGACAAGGCAAGGAGGGTACTGGAAGCGCTGGCAACCTGGCCAAAGAGGTCACTTCCAGCATGGAAAGAAAAGTGTTAGGAAAAACAACTCGCCAGCAGCTGCCTCAGCGCTATGGAGCCGTCATCACCGGCCCCACAGCAATCAGTCATCTCTGAGTCCTGCACGCACGGTGCTTGTGTGATACAGCTTGAGTGGATCTAGCAAGGGAACAGGCGATTTTTCCTTTTTTTTTATTTTGGGAGGGGAGGTGTGTGTGTTCCTGGCCATTTGCTCCCACAGCTTCTCCAGCTGAGAGCAGAGTACCTGACAAACCACATCGACTCACCCACCGGCAGAAGGACAACCAGGTGCATGCAGGAGAACAGCACGAGGTCAGCAAATGCCATCGGTTTAAAGCAGAGTGAGAGAAGACCAGAACAGGGTCAGGATGTTCTCCTCCTTCCAGAGAGGAACCATCAGGTGGACTCAGCTGCAATACACGAGCGTCTGAAGTTGCATTTTCTCACAACTCCAAGAAATGCATCACCTTAAACAACGCAAATGACCAGGCGCTTGAGCAACTGGCTGGAAATCTGGAAGTTTCATTCTTAACAAATGTCAGCCTCCAGCAAGAAGCTAGAAACATACACTTCTTAGCTTAGAATAAATATAATAAATGAGGTTTCCATGCTGCATGATAGTAAGTTCACTGGAAAAAAAAATAAAGTACAAAGGTACTACAGCAGGATCAATTCTTCAGCTAATGCCACGCTTTCAGTAAGGTACTAAATAAATAAATAATAATCCTTCCCACCACCCAAAGCTCAGAAGAGTAAAGCCATTAACTAGAAGGATCAAAAACCATCATAAAACATCATACGTTACAATCAGGAGCATATAAGCCAGAAAGAGAGAACTCTTCATTATTCTTATTTCTTCTCATAAATAGAAGCTATTTGTGCCATATTTATATCAAACTCATTTCAGAACAATCTCTCTCAAAATACATGCTGGAAAAAAGAGTAACTTGCTGTGATTATCAGAACCTGTTTTGTTCATAAATTATGATCTGTACTTACAAACATCTAACTACAACAAGCGCATCTTTTCCCACAGCTGCTATCCATCCTGCTGTCCACTTAAATAGCTCCATCTCTTTTCCTACCCTGCCTTAGAGGGCCCTCACTCCCTAAACTCTTCTCCAGTACCTTCGGTTCTCTCCATTTTCTCCAAAATCCTCAGGTATCCAGGTATCCCGCTGAGCAAGTTCATTGCTAGTAAGCAAGAAAAACCATTTTTTGAGCTCAGGGAGCAGGACATCTCTCAACAGGCGCATTCATCAGCTGCAAATGCTGAAAGCCACCTTTTAGATCCTTACCCGTGAAGTTATGAAGTGTGAAGTTATGCAGTAGGTTAAAAGTTTAGGGTGGTGGAGAAAGAGGATAGCAAAATAGCAGGAGGTGCATCAGCTGGCCAGGAGGCTGAGAATGCAGCTTGCAGGAGAGAAAAAAAAATCAGGAAAAAGACTTGGTGAATCCATCAAGCTGTCATACTCCTTCCTGCAGGATATTGTGGGAATAGGATAAAAACAAAATCTGTTATTAACTCATGAAGGAAAACACAGCCGGCCTTGCGCTGCCGCTGGCTCTCCCTGGCCACTCCACAACAGGGAATCTGGCATCAGGCCTGGAGCAATTACTCAATGGGAGCCTGGAAGCCTTTTTAGAACATTAGCACCCACGCCACATCTTTTTTCCATACCCTACTAGTATTCCATGCATCACTACATGTACCATTACATGATACTGTTGGAGGGAACCCAGATAATTCAGCTGCAGATTTCCTTGCAGTTAGAGTCCTCTCATACTCACATTTACCAACTTTGGGTCATTTTCTCTAACTCATGAGCAGTATCTGGACACATCACAGGGATCTTTCTTCAGCAGATGTTCTCACAGGTAGGCAGCGTGAAGAATAAGGTAACACCTCTAAGCATAAATACTTGCTTTGCTGTTAAAAATAAATTGTATTTTCTAAATCCATGCTTATCGTGTAATTCAAGCCTATTCTAGACCTGTAAAAATGAATACACTTTTAAATTGAGTTGGTATTTTAAATGGCATTATTGAGCTATTGAGGAGGGAGAGCAGTCAGTGAAGCACTAACCATCACAACTATTCACACGGCAAGGGGTTGGGTGCAAAGGCTCTGTAGAAAGAAAATCAGTGTTTAAAAGCTGCCTTGCAGGTGTAGGAAAGCACTGCACTGAAAAGCAGACAGTCACCATGGTGGTCCATCTCAATTTAACATTACAGAATCTCTCACTTACAGAATTTCAAAACGTGAATGAACGGATGGGGTCCTGTCAGGCGGTTTTTCTTTTTTAAAATAAAAACAATCTCCACAAGGGAGGGATGATTTTCTTGCAGATGGAACAGTTTGAGTAATGCGAAGAGCTACTGCAGTTTGAATAATAGGAAGAAAAGCAATATGCAATTGAGCAGTTAAATCATTAATGGATACTTGAGAACAATCACCTTCGATGTAAGGAAAGCACCTTCCACTTCAAGGAAAATAGCCATGAATTCTAAGCTAAAGCTGTATGAAGAACTTGCTGTATTTTACAGTACAAATTACTGCTTCCATTAGCTCCTTTTCCACCCTAGGGAGAAGTTGACCAGAATACAAGCCTAAACTGAAAATGAGCAGATAATTGATAAAACCAGCCAAACAAAAAGCCTAAAACAAACATCTTCCACTCCCTAGTTACCATTAAAACCAGTTTTTCCTCCGGCTTGCCCATAGGAGCAGGTATGAGGATTTTTATCCCAACTCTCCTTCCCTCCTGCAATGGTTGTCCCTGGGGCTCACCCTGGACACGGGCTGGGTCCCCAGTGCCAGCCTGCACTCGCCTCCTCACGCAGCGCCCCAGGAACCACGTTTTACGGGGGAGATACCCAGCAGGCTGGGCTAAATCCCATTAAACCTAGTGGGAACTCGGCTTCTCAGGCTGCTCACCCACTTGAGGGTGAGGGGCAGGGTGTTCTCATCACTGCTGCACGCACGGCCCGTGCAGCGAGGTCCAGGAGGGCTCATGGCACATCTGGGCTCAGGAAACGCTGCCTGCCAGTCCCTGACAGCACTGAGCAATACAGGGGTGGCCTAGCCAAGTGTTTTTAATTCTTTCTCGATGGAAAGGCAAGAGGGAGGACAAGAAAGCGAATCCCACTTGACTGTACTCCACAGGATCCAAGGGAATCCAAGGTAAAAGGTACCACCAAACACCTGCAGAAGAGGAGCCTGACCCTCCACCACATCTCTAGTAATGTCCCAATCAGCCCCCTTGGGCTGTGACAAAACAGAGCAACTACTCGTATTAAATCCATAATTTCCTGGGCGCATCCGTTTCACTTTTTTGAGGATCACACCAGACTGCACATGAAGCAGCATCAGGACTTGCTGGGTCTCGGCGCAGGAGAAGTGCAAACATCCATCTCTCAAGGATTTCCAGGACAGATAAAGGGGTATTTGAAGTCCAAAGAGCAACAGACAAATTAAAATGCCAGGTGGAAAATCTTTATGAGGATTTAGCCCTAAGTTTTTTCACTGTTACTTTTGTGCAACACAGACAACTATTTAGCAAGTAGATTTGACAACATTACAATTCTGTTTCTCTCAGTAGTACAAACCAGAATCTTAACATCTAAAGGTCCTTGAACTGTAGAATATGTAAGCATAACTTCAAAGTGTGCTTGGCTTAAGGGCTAGAGCTACTCAGTGTAGTAAAGTCCTTCAAAACATAAAATCAAAAAATTTACAAGATGTTCTCAAGCTTCTACTTCTTACTGTATCTATAAAACCACTTCAGCCATAAAATATTTAGAAAGCCACTTAAAAATAATCCTTCATTAACAGAGTAATACACCATATCCTACCATTTTTGTCACTTTGTATTAAAAACATATGAAAGGTATAATACACCTCAAACCAAAACCACATTTATTCCATCAGTCACAAGTGCAAATATAGCAACAAGTCAGTTCAGCAAATTACAACACACAAAGAAATGTAATGTAAATGCTAATTACACTGACAAAGCAACTTCAGAGAGCAGCAAAAATGGTTTCTTCAAATAAAAAACTCTATCCTTTTTATCTGTAATCTAAAATAATGTAATACATCAAGATCAGGAATGTCTCTGCTAACTAACATTCAGCCAGCTCTTCTGCTATTAACAGTTCGCATTATTCAGTGCACAAATGGCCTGCCCAAGCTCCTTATTAACAGATGTTTTGGTTTTAAGCAAATTTTACCCATTATGTAAATAACAGTGCCGATAGCAGAACATGTGTTCTGCTGTTTTCATATTGCAAATTTGAGAATAAGTATTTAAAAACAAAAATACGTCCAATTTTGGTGGACATTTTAATTTTAACCTAGATCCAAAGTGGGCAATATTAAAGATACCATTGAATAAAATTCCTGCACACAAGTGGACCCAAGCGATCTAAGATTTTCTGGATCATCTTTAAGTCTTTAGTTAACATCCATATGCAGTACTTATGTATAAAATAGAAAGCATTCCCATTAGGAAGATACTGCAGTGTAATTAGCAGTTTTTCCCTACCACTTAGTAGCCAAGGAACAAGATTTGTGCTTAATACCCGACCATCATTTTGCTTTAAAGGAAAGCAAAAGTAGAATGCCAGTATTAGCATCAGTAGGTTTGCACTGGAAGCTTAGTTAGCCTTCTTTTTCTTTAGGAGCTGCTGTTTCTTCTCTTTTTCTTTATAGGCAATGAATTGAGAGTCTGTACCAAAGATCCTGTCCCACCACGTGAAGGTTGAAGCGTAATTGCCAATAAAGTTCATGTGATGGAAATCGTGAAAGCGGGCCCCAGCGTAGAAAGGCACCAAGTGAAGAGGGTTCAGAGGAACGTCATAGCCACTACAGGGGAAGGAAAAAAGGAAATGGTAACTTTGTTGGTTTGTCTGCTTGTTTTCTCAAAACACATATATGTAGAGAGAGTATAACTTAACAGAAACATCTTTCTACATTCCAAAGTCCAGAATCACCTTAACACTGGCTTAACAGAAGAGCTACAGTGTGCACTTGCATAAAATGAGATGCAACAGAAAGTCAGTGCTTCTGCAAGAATAAAGGAAAAACAGAACCACTTCCTGACCTAGCCAAAGGCTTCTGTAAACTGCCCCACTCTGGCCTTGGCACTTTCTGATCTCTTCAGTTTAGTAAGTGGCTCCCCTTCCCTCTCAAAATCTCCTTGGAACAGGACACCTCTAGGACAACAGTGAATGACTTCCAGCTGGTTTGCAGATCCAGGTGGCTCACGTTATCTCTGCTTCTCAGACTGCATTTGAACTCAACTACAACTCTTGAGAGGCTCATAAACCCTCCCTTTAGAAAAGCAGCTGATTAATTCAGGGGCTGAAAGAAGTCATGCTGTACCAATTTCTATTCTTGATTATTGTCAGATTACTTTTAATGTGTAAATGATTAATATCAACAACTCAAAATATAAAATTACAGTAATATTCAACTCGGAGCCATTGCTTTAAAGAGTTACTGTTGCTTAGTAGTCCTGAGAAGCATCCTACCACCACCTAGTGGGGAGAGTGCAAGATAATTTGTTATGAACACCTCACAGGGACAGAAAATCGGAATTATAATTACCCACATGGATTCATATTTTTCTTTCAATCCTTATAGACACTTTACAGCATATACTTCTTTACTACAGCATTTGTGCTGTCATATTGGAACCCAATCTGAAAGAAGTTACACTTTGGCCACAAAGCCAAGTAGCCTCTCCAGCCCATTCTGATTTTTAGCAGTCAGTGGTGGCATGTTCTGGGATGTGTAAGATGACTTACAGACTGGAGATTAATCACAAAGCACCAAATCACCCATCACAAGGATGTATGTAGCCTCTGGGGCCCTCTTCAAGATGTGATAGCAGACAATCTACACTCCTCCAATCAGCAAGATTTGCTAGTTAGACTACTTCAAAACAGAAGGCAGTATTTACTGTCCAGCCTGTGTCATCTGCTAGATGTACTGAAGAAAAGACTGAGAAGAGGATGACTGCTTTACCATACACATAGAAGCACCTCAATGCTAACGAGACAGAAAGCAGAAAGCTCCAGAACTGGAAAAACCAACAGTTAATTTTAAAACAGACTTGGGAGGAAAACAAAATGCTCATTACTTCTAAGTAGTTTACCTGTGCACGTCAATGGTTTCCATCAGGCGACATATTACCCATGCCCACAGTAGAACCATATGGTTACAGAAAACAACAATTCCAATAAAAAAGCCGGTTCCAAGGATAAGCGTTTCCAGAGGATGTGCATACTCTGCTTGCATTCCGAAGGGAGCCTACAAAAAACAAACAAGAGAAGTTTGAAAAGGGTGCCTGCTTCTTCCTATACCTCAGATCAGATTCACCCTTTTGTGAGAGCAAAACTCCACACTGCAGAGGAGGCACAGAAACACCTTCCTTGTGTTGAGTTCAGGGAACACAACTGGTCAGTTCCTCATTGGTAGGAGAGAAATCAGCATCCCAAGGTCACGAGGGCTGTGAAGGCTCAATTAGCAAAAACTGTACCACACCAGCTCAGAATGTGATTTCAGTTTACCACTACCTCAGAGTCAAAGAGTTGTTTCAAGAACATTAAAGCTTTGGACAAGCTCCTGTCAGTTTAGCTATGTTTCCAGGCTTGGAAGGAGAGGGGAAAAAAAAAAAAAAAAGTTCAAATATTCTCAGAGTGATAATTACCAGTTTTTAAAAAAATATAAAACAAACAACCCAAGAACCCTCAAAAAGCACTCATCTTTAACACTTTGTAAGTCCTTACAGCTCAAAATATTTTTGTGAGACTGAAATAAAGCATCTTCTTTCCTTTAGTTATATACACTAAATAGTCATTCCTACATTTGGTTTCAAAAAATACATCATAGGAAGCTTTAAAAAGAAAAATGTTTTGGGAAAAATAATAATTAAACTTTTAAGGCCAATACTGAAGGATGTAAGTTTATCTAAAATGAAATAAAGTACCCTTTGGCTTAAGGAAGGTTTAAACCTTTTATTAGTAGAAAATGTTTTTAGTAAAGTAACTACTAGCTTACAGGTAACTCCCATGTGGACAGCTATGTATTCTCACAGGGAACCTGCCCTGAAGCTGTTTCTATGCCTGCCACAGGCCTGAGGGGCTGCTGAGGTCTGCAGGGAAGCAGCAGCAGCAGCTGCAGCCTGTGCAGGGATGCAGGCACAGGTTGGTACCCTGCTCTCTGCAGCCCTGCCCCACGCACAGCAGCCTGCAGCTTACTCTGGGCACAGTTTAGCTACAAGCTGAATGAATGCAGCACAGAAACACCCTGACTCCCGTGATCCAGAAACCTGGAGGGAGCCTATCCCACCTCTTAGACAGGTGCTGCTGCTGCCCGGCTGCCCAGAGCAGGGCACCTCCAGGAGCACATATATTACCCAAGTATTTAATGCATGCATTAACAACAACCTGAAAGACCTGAAGGAATACATACCACAAACTCATGGTGAACCTTGTGGATGTACTTGTATATTCTCTTGTGATGCAACAACCTATGCAGGAAATAGTGCCAGGCGTCCTCGATGACTGCACATCCGAAACACTGGGCAAGCAGAATGTACCTTCAGAAATCAGAGAACAAGCAAAGAACTGTTAGTTACAGAAAATATTTGCTTATCTTGGAATACAAAACAGTTTATATGCTAATAAGGATGCAATATATCTGAGCAATGTCACATTGCTACTGACTCGATAACAGTGGCACCACCTACTTAACATACTAAAATGTTAATTACCAAGTACATTAGTCTTTACAGCTATCAGCTCATCAGGTCATATGCTGAAGCAAGCTAGCATGTGGTATAACAAGTTACTATCTGTAATTTTGGTACTATACCACACTGTAGGTAATGAACATCTTTAGTCAGTGTAAGACCTAGATATGCAAAGGCAGAACTGTACCTGAACCAGGCAGAAAATAAGAAAATACCTTATGAGAAAGGCAACCTGCTGTTGTAAAGAATAACTTCAAGGGGAGAAAAAAAATAAATAAATAAAATAAAAGCACTTTTGGGTAGATTTGGTTTTGTGCAAAAGTGGAAATTTAGAAAAAAAATAGAGGAAAGAGGAATGAGAAGCAGGTGCATTCTCTCCTTTGGGGAATATATTGTTGCTAAGAAATAAAGCAACAGGGTGGAGGGAAAAACAAAAACACACACTTAACAGAAATAGGAGGAAATCAAAACATGTTGAACTGAAAAAGAAAAAATAAAAAAAGACACATAAAGTCCAGTATCTAATCCAAGTCATCATGAATTTTGCTTTGCCTCCATCAACTCCCTTCTAATCCGCTCTCTTCTTTGAAAATTTGAGATCATTAAAAAAAAATACTCTACAAAGCTCTAATTAGCTCTTGTAGCAGTTAGGTATCAACCAACACAAAATTAATAGAACTTACAAGACACAAAAGTCTAGTTACAGTACATTAGAGTTAATGATACTATTTGTCAAACATTTTGTCTCCAGTTGCATACAATTCAGTAGCAAGTAGAAGAAATATCTACCTACCATCTAGGCATTTCTTCCCACTCATAAGGAATGTTAAAATATTCTGTGAAGTAATAGGTACCACAAATCAGAGGCAGCTGAATGAAAAAGTGATTGAAGAGGAGTGTTTTGAAACATTTCCACTGCTTTTCCCATGTTTCTGGTTTATCCTAGAAAGAAACAGACAGTTCCGTTATGTGATTTTGCAGCATGAATTCAAACTGCTGAAGAGAAAAAAAAAAAAAAAACAAAACCATCTTAAGACCTGATGAAGCATCCCGACAAAACATTTATTGAAGAAGTTTTATCACCAGTAAGTTTCAAGGTGTTTCTGAAATAATATTGTGAAGCTGTCCTTTCCTGTTCAAGATAGGATTTATACGAAAATCCTCAAACTAAACTTTAGGTAGTTTTTAAGAGGAGGAGAAAGCACGTATTTGAGAGGAAAGCAGATTATACCTACTTTCAAACGGTCAGACTCTGCTTGATACTGTGGTATTATCCTAAACATATTAAATGTATCCAAGAAGAAAGTCAGCTTAAGCTGCTTCTGAAATATCTGCCTAAATTTCTTTCAGAATCTAGTTAGGAAAGTCATTTAAAATTCAGTTTTTCATTCATATAAGGCCTGCAGAAGTGCCCAGGTCACAGAACAGACTGACACATTTCAGGCTGTGGTTCCCTTTCTCTTTTTGAGAACTTCTCTTCTGTGCTGCATTTCTCAAATGCTTTCACCTGGAAAATAAGTAGCAGCTCCTCCCACAGCACAAACCAACTGAGGCAGCACAAGGTGCGAGATGGGATTAAATTCAGTTTCATCACAAATTCCAGAGTCTCTCATTTGTTAAGACAGTTTTTCTTAAAACTTGAAGCAAGGTTCTCTCAGTAAAGTTAGTCTTTACCAGTCACCCCAAACAATTACAAATAATGAAATAACAAGAATTAACAGCAGCACTTCAGACTTAACAGCTTAACATTAACCTATTAGCTTTTCGTCTTCAGCTTTAGCTTTTTCAGGGACACATATTACCAATTACTGTAGCAACATAAGAAAGTAACATTGTTTCATTTCAAATTCATATTACAAGCAAAGATAAGGAAACCGAGGGAAAACAGTAACCTTGCTGTTGGGGAGGCACATTTGCCACTTATCAATGTCTAAAACCCAGTGGGCCCATCAGAAGCCTCCTCTATGATTAAAACACCTCGAAATCACTTCAACAGGGTGTTCATGAAGAAACTTTAAGACTATCGCTATTAAGTCTCAATACCATGTAATTCCACCAGGTGAAATAATTATTTTGCAATACTAACTCCCAACTTTACTGCACCTTCCAGATATCTTCCTCACCTACGCATAAGTTTCACAGACTGCCAGACTGGTTGAGGTTGGCAGGGACCTCTAGGGATCCCCCGGTCCAAGCCCTGCTCCAGCAGGGACACCCAGAGCAGGGGCACAGGGTCCATCCAGGCGGGTTGGAGATCTCCAGAGCAGGAGCCTCCACAGCCTCTCTGGGCAGCCTGTGCCAGGGCTCTGGCACCCTCACACCAAGGAAGTTCTTCCTCACATGGACATGGAGCTGCCTGGGGTTCAGCTTGTACCTGTTACCCCTTGTCCTGTCACTGGCCACCACCAAGAGGAATTTGGCCCCATCCTGTTTACATTCTCCTCTCAGGTATTTGTACATACTGATGAGATCCTCTCTCAAGTCTTCTCCAGGCTAAACTTTCCTAAAGAATGTTTTACTTTGCTGGTACAGAGACCAACAAACCCCCCATGCTTTCTCTAAACCATGGCCACAGAGAACAGGATCCTCTGGCTCAGCAAAAGCGTCTTTCCCAAACTCATGCCCATTCCTCTCTTCCTACACGCTGCAATTTTGGCCTGTCACTTCCAGGACATCCATAGTGATCAGAGGCACGTGTGCTCATCTGTACCAGATATCAATACACCAGAGTTATCTAGGCTTCGCATGGTAAAAGAAAAACCAGGCAGTAAGCAGTTCAAGGCCTGGCCTTACCTGTTGAATTTTGTACTTTTGCATGTACGGAATAAACTGGAAGACAAATCCTGGCACGCAGAGCAGGAAGTATGAAGCTTCATGAACTAAGAGCGATCCCCAGGTGGCAATCTGGAACTTGGTGTAGTTATCCAGCATGTAGTTCCAAGCATTTTTAAATGGCTGCTGCAGGGGGTTATCTGGCAAGAACGAGTCTATGTACTCCACTGCCAGGTAAGCAGAGTTCAAGATATTCACGCTGTCGTTCATTGCCATCGTTCAAACATCAAACATCAAGGCACAATTCTTCTGGGGGCGTGTAGATCACCTGCGAGCTTGGAGAAAAGAAAATTGATTAAGAAGCAGTGTCTCCTGAAAAACAAAAGAAGCAAACCACAACAACAACGACAACAGCTAGTTTTTAATCACATTTGAAGCCAGAGAAATACACGTTCTCTTTCCACAGAACAGTATAAAAGACGAAATTCTAGGATGAGGTTGAGGCCACTTGGCTCTCAAGTTTCGAAGCAGAGCCAAGGCAGCAAAAAGCTCATGTTTCCTCATCACCGGTTTTAGATAACCGAGACTGAAGTAAGAGCTGCACACCGCGAGGAAGGAGGACAGGAGGGCTCCAAACCCGCTGGGACACCCAGGAGCGCTCCCCGTCACCCGCTTTCTCACCCAGCCGGGCCCTTTCCGCGGCGGCGGCGGGCCGGGGCCCACGCAGGGCCCCATCTGCGGGGCCTCGGCCGCCCGCGCAGCTTTCAGGCTGCGTCCCGCGGACGCAGCCGCACCCCCAAAGAGAAGCCCCCAAGGGAGCGCTCAGCCCGGCTCCTCACCTCGGTCCCGGTGCTGGTCCCGGTCCTGGTGGCGGCAGCGCCCGGCGCGGCACTAACGGCCCCGGCACCGGCGGCCCCTCAAGAGCG